ACTACCGTGTAGTTCATAGAGTCTTTTTTTTCAATATTAGATTAAATGAAGTATAGTAATTCATAGATGAATATTAGTATATTAATATATTTAGTTATAGTAAAATTACAGTGAATCAAGGGCACTTGTCTCTGACCGAAAAACATTTCGATATGAAATTTGAAAAAAGAATTGTTAATACTTGGTCATTGTTGCACATCACGTGAGTCAACAAATCTTCTTTTGATTTTGTTGTTAATTGCATTTGAAAAATATTCTTTAAAATATTGTTAGTATTGTTCCTTAGATTGTCGTATTTATGACATTCAAAGGCAAAGTGAAATTCGTCTTCAACTGAACCACTGTGACAGTGTTTACAAAATCTTTCTTCACGTGGTATTTGTTGGTACCGACCATATTCGATCAGTAATTTGTGATTACTGATTCGAAATTTTGTGTAAATTCGTCTTTTGGATGGGTCTTTTATTATACTTAAGTAGTCTTCTAATTTATAATTTTTCTTAAATCTGCTGTAAAATGAAAGTTTTGAGGAGTTGTTAATTTGTTGTTTCCATTCTGAGACGTAGTTGTTCTGAATTATATCGATTATAACATTTATTTTTGTATCGGTTATAAATTTTTCTAGATCTACTGGTTCAATTAGATTGGGAAAGTGTTTTTTCAGGAAATTTACAACGTTCGAGTAAAAAGAGTCTTTGCCTTTCAAATATAGTTCTTTCGAGCTACGAAATGCTAGTTTTGCTATCGATGAGTCTGGTAGTTTAGATATATTAATAATATAACTTAGTGTTCTTTTAATTATGGGCAATAGCAATGGGAATTTTCCAAGTTCCCCTCGGCTTGCAACGTTGCTGACTTTCCTATTTACTCCTAGGTAGAGTTTGCAAAATTTTAGATGGGCTTTTTCTGTCCAAGTTTTATCCCATTTTGTAAAGTCTCCGATTGTGTATGCCCCCCATACCTCGGAGTTATATAGTAATATTGGAGAGATTACACTGTCGAAGATTTTGCAAGCTAGTTTTGGTGGTAGTTGGTGCAAATCAATCTGTTTGCGTATTTTGTACAGAGCATGTATTGCTTTTTCGCTAAGTTGTTGGCTGGCAATATCAAATTTTGTGTTGGGCGTTAATTTTAAACCTAAGTACGTATATTCATTAGTCATGGAGATTGGATTTTTTCCAATGTTAAATTGAATGTTTTTTGGTTTAGATTTATGTTTTTGCAGAATCATGACTTTCGTTTTTTTGAGGTTGACTTCCAATAGCCATTTTTCGCTCCAGTTGTGAAGCGTATCTAGGCAGTTTTGGAGACCGGTTTTTGATCGTGACAATATTACTAAATCATCAGCATAGAGAAGGCTGCTTATTGTAGTGCTATTTGGTAGTATGAAGGGATCAGAAATTGTTTCTTCGAATAATTTTGGTAGTTCATTAATATATAAGTTGAATAGTAATGGACTTAAAACACAACCCTGACGAACTCCCTTGCGGTAAGGGAAGAAGGACGTTCTACGATCTGATATCTTCACTGCACACCTAGTGTTAGTGTACAGATCTTTTATCAGATCGTAGAATCGTCCTCCTATTTTGTTTTCTAGTAGTTTTAAGAAAAGGCCATCATGCCAGATAGAATCAAACGCTTTTTTGAAGTCCACGAAGCAAGCATATATTTTTTCATTACTGTGTTGTTTTACGTATTTGTCGTGAATCGTTTTTAACGTTAATATGTGATCGGCTGTTCGATTGCCAGGCATAAAGCCTATTTGCGAGTGATGAATCATCTTTTCTTGCTCCGTATAGTTCATTAGTCTATCATTTAGAGTTAGACAGAAAAATTTTCCTAGAGAACTTGACACACAGATTCCTCTGTAGTTATTTGGATCTAATTTATTACCTGATTTATAGATTGAGGTAATAAGACCTTCACACCATAATTCCGGAAACTTTCCAGAATTTAAAATTATGTTGAATAGTTTAACAAATCCTTGTGTTAGAATATCTGCACTAGACTTAATCATTTCATTTTTTATTTTGTCTGAGTATGCAGCTTTTTTCAATTTTAATTTCATTGCTGTTTTTATTATTTCTTGTTCAGTTATTTCTGTGTCAAGTGTATTATGTTGATCTCGAAGTTTCTCTTGGTTTTGAAGATTTTCAACGATTTTTTCATGTTCTTTAGTTAGTTTGTGCTTGCAGTGCAATTTGGAAAAATGATTGAACCAATCATCCCCTTTTGGGGTGTTGTCGGAATTGGCATTGTTTATTTCATCGGAAGCGTTTCGGAAAGTTTTCCAGAACGAATTAGGATTGTCTTCAGCAGCCTTTTCTAGTTCAATTAGCATGTCGTTTTGAAATTTAGTTCTTTTTCTTTCTAAAGTTTCTTTGTAGGATTTGAGAGCAGTATGGTAGGCTTCTCTTATAGCCAAATTTGTTGGGTCTCTATGTTTTTGATTTGCAATTTTACGTAATTCATGTCTTTTAAATCGACATTCCTTATCAAACCATTTTTTGTTTTCTACGTTGTTTATTTTTCTTCTAGTTTTCTTTTTTCTTATTTTCAAAGATTTTTTTGCTGCGTGAGTTATAATATTTTGGAATTCCGTCACACATTCATTAACTCCTTTTTCGTCATTAGTGAATGTGGACTGCAGAAACTGATCAAGTTTTCTTTGTATTTCAGGTGATTTTAGAGTTTGTCTGAAATTTCTTTTTGAGTTTTCAGACCAATCAAATTGAAGTGGTAGTTTATGTAAAGGGTTTGTTCAGGTTTGGACCAGTTTTTTTCACTGTCAAGTAAAGTTTTTTCAATATCAATCCATGTAACTATTTGACTGTGGTCTGATAAATAGGTTGGTGGCTTTACAACAAAATAGTTAACATTTTGAAATGTTTCTTGATCGCATATTATATCAACAGTACTTATACCATTGTTTCCATGAAATGTGGGTCTACCTAAAGAATCGCCTTTGGTTCTTCCATTTAGGATTCTCATGTCAGTATTTTTGCATATGTTGATAAGTTGTAAACCATGGTTGTTTTTAGTATTATCAAAGTTGAGTCTGTTTTTTGGTTGTAGACTATCATCACTTAAATCATTAGTATAGTTATTTCCATCCTTGGAAACAAAATCGTTAAGTGTACTTGCTCTTCCATTAAAATCACCTAATAATATTGTATTACCTTTTGAGAGAAAATTAATTACATCATTTTCTAATTCATCAAAAATTTCTTGATCAAAGTACGATGATTTTTCTGGTGGTATATAGGCACCACAAAGGAATAAGTCTCTATTATTGTTGAAAAGGTCTTTAGAGACTTTACACCAAATGTAATTTTTAGATTTTTCCTCAATTGAAACATATTTTTCATATTTGAGTTTTACTAAAAGTGTAACCCCACCGGACATCCTACTGGGTCTGTCAGTGCGAGGTGTTGTGGGGTCAGAGACAAATGCCTTGAAATCTGGAATACTAATTTCTTTATCAGACCATGTTTCAGTTAAGAACATGAAGTCTGTTTTCATAATATTATCAGTAAAGTCCTTGATTTTCGTTTTATCACCAAGGACATTATGTGATAGGCCATGGATGTTCCATGTGCTGAAAGACAGGCTATGGGGCATTTTTGTGAAGATTTATGTGAAATATTTGGTAGAGAAAGACTTATAATTTCATTGAGGATAAATATTAAATTTCTAGATTAATACTTTTTTTTTAAGTTGGAGGATAGTGAGAAAAGAAAATATATATAAATACATAAATTCTTATTTCTATGTTCTAAGATTGCAATTATAACTAGTTAACATACCTAGTATGTAAAACTTTGATCAGTTGGACCATTTCTTGTGGTAATTTCTCTTCTTGGTGTTTCGTCATTCTGTTTCCTGCAGTTTGACTGGTGCTTTTGTGTGGTGGGTGTTGGTTGAATGGCATGCGGTTGTAGAAGAAAGGAGTATAGCGGTTGTTTATTGTGTGGAGCTTATTTGGATGTTGATGGTTTGTGGTGTGGTTCTGGTGGAAGGGTGGAAGTGTCGTATTGGTTTGTTGGTTGATTCTTTGGTTGGATTGCCATCTGGGTTTTGTTGGGTGATTGTGGGATTTTCTTGTTTTGTCGGTATTTGGGGGAGAATGACCAAAGTATGCTCTTTTAAGGTTTAAGGCGAAACGTTTGACGCCAATCGTGTTCAGATGTTTTTTGTCACGCAGGTCTTCTATCTTGATGTTGTCATGTTCGAAAACATAGATTTTGGAAGCCGAGAATGTTTCTTCTAGACTGTGGTTAATGTTTTTGGTCCTTTCATTCAGGTTGTCTTTTCTGGGTAATAGTGTTGAGAGAATCACTTTACTTTCAGGATGTTTACTGGATATGGTTGTTACCGTGGATTTGAGATGTCCTATGATTTCTTCATCTGATTGGTTAGACTCCAGGTCATTGGTTCCATAGTGAAGAAGGAAGGTTTTAGGGTTCGTGAATGTGGTTTGTTCTATGGTCTTACTAGCATCATTCAGGGTTGGACATCGGATGTAGGAAGTCCTTGAACCAGGGCATAACAGGTTGGGGTTTATGTGACGACCATTGCTGTCACACAAGATAATTGTTTCTCCATTGTTTACTTCCGAGTGGTCTAAGAGGGTGTTCTGTGATGACGACATTTCATCTCTTTGTATTTCATCCTCATCAGGTTGATTCAGGTTGTCTTCTAAGGTACCAAAACTGTTCGAAATGGGCACTGCTATGTTTGGTTGAATTTGGCTGGTCGTTTCTTCGTTTGTCTGAATATTTTCCTTATTTAGTGTTTGTAATTTTAGTTATAGATCAGTATTCTTTTTCTCTAAGGATTTGTGTTTGTTTTTTAATTTTTTAAGTTCATCTTCAATTTGTGATTGTTTTAAATTCAGGTCACATATTGACTGTTGTTGGCTTAGGTTGGTTGTCTTGAGTAGCGTTATTTCAGTTTTTAGATTATTGATTTCACCGTCTTTATTGTCGAGCTGAACTTTGAGGACATTGATGCTCATTTGGGTCGTTTGCTTAAAAAGAACAAAGTCAGCTTCAAGTGAGGCCAGGCTGCTTTTCATACTCGAAAACATTGGTTCATCATTTAAAGAGTTAGTATTGTCTGGTTCTGATATATCGTCGATGGCATGGGCATCTTTTTCCATAGTGCTCGGTTTTTGATTAATTGTTATTAGTTCAACGAAAGTTTCTAGATCTTTGGTTGGATTGGTTTTGGCAGGACTAGAATTAATAATTGCCAGGAGTCGCGGAAATTCTTCGTTGCCCCATTCTTTGTAGGACCTTCCTTGTACTTGAATTCTCCCATTATTTATCAGTGCTGTGATGGTGATGAGATTCTGATTAATCGAGTTTTTGGAGGAAGATAGATGGATTGTTACCTTGTCGCATTTCGTTGAGTCATCCTTGTTTTCATTTCATTCCCAGTGCACAGTGCAAAAAACAGCAAAAAAGTAAGGCTATAGCCTTAAATTTTTGTCCATTTTTAGCGACTTTTGTCATTTTTCATGAATGGGCAAAAAACAGCAAAAAAAGAAAGGCTATAGCCTTAACTTTTCGTCCATTTTTATCGAATTTTGCCATTTTTCATAAGTGGGCAAAAAACAGCAGAAAAGTAAGGCTATAGCCTTAACTTTTCGTCCATTATTAGCGACTTTTTCCACTTTTCATAAGTGGGCGAAAACAAAAAAAAAGTAAGGATATAGCCTTAACTTTTCGTCTATTTTTAGCGACTTTTGCCATTTTTCATAAGCACGCAAAAAACAGAAGAAAAGTAAGACTGTAGCCTTAACTTTTCGTCCAATTTTAGCGACTTTTGCCACTTTTCATAAGTGGGCAAAAAACAGACAAAAAGTAAGGCTATAGCCATAACTTTTCGTCCATTTTTATCGACTTTTGCCATTTTTCATAAGTGGGCAATAAACAGCAGAAAAGTAAGGCTACAGCCTTAACTTTTCGTCTGTTATTAGCGACTTTTTCCACTTTTCATAAGTGGGCAAAAAACAGCAAAAATTAAGGCTATAGCCTTAAATTTTCGTCCATTTTTATCGACTTTTGCCATTTTTCATAAATGGAAAAAAACCCAGCAAAAAAGTAAGGCTATAGCCTTAACTTTTCGTCCATTTTTAGCCGATTTGTCAATTTTTGAAAAAGCAAAAAACTGCAAAAAATAAGGCTATAGCCTTTACTTTTCCCGATTTTTAGGCGATTTTTCAATTGTTGAAAACGAAAATTGGCAAAAAAGTAAAGCTATAGCATACTATACTTTTTCGTCATTTTTTTCGTGCCAAAAAGTAAAGGGTCAGTCCTTTAATTTTTGGCGACTTAATTTTTTTAAATAAAATTTGGTGATAAGAGATTATGTAGAAACTAGTATAGATACCACCACTGATTAGATCTTCTAGTCAAGTGGTAGTCTCCTGGTGTTGGGTGAGGGAGTACTACGGATCGGTCCCTGTTGTAGTCAAAACCATTTTAATGTCAGGCATCGTTGTTAATTAATTCCACCCGAGACGAGAATGAATGAAATAGAATAAAAAAGAGTTAAAGCAAGTGTAGGCGAGATGGTCTAGTGGTAAGGACAAAGTGTTGTAAGTGCGTGAGGCCAGGTTCGATTCCTGGTTGTATCATAAGCATTTCAATGTCAGGCGCCGCCCTTAATTATTCCACCCGAGACGGGGAAAAGTTAAGTAGAATAAAAAGTGAGTTAAAGCAAGTGTAGGCGGGATGGTCTAGTGGTAAGAACAAAGTGTTTCCAAGTTTTTGAAGCCAGGATCGATTCCTGTTGTAGCCAACGGGCATTTTAATGGAGGGAACCTTTTCTTGACGCTGAGGAAAAGGTTCCGGAAGCTAGGACAAGGTTCCTGACGCTGAGGACAAGGTACCTGACGCTGAGGACAAGGTTCCTGACGCTAGGGACAAGGTTCCTGACGCTAGGGACAAGGTTCCTGATGCTGAGAACAAGGTTCCTGACGCTGAGGACAAGCTTCCTGACGTTGAGGACAAGGTATCTGACGCTGAGGACAAGGTTCCTGACGCTGAGGACAAGGTTCCTGACGCTGAGGACAAGGTTCCTGACGCTGAGGACAAGGTTCCTGACGCTGAGGATTTCGAACCTTTAGTTCTACTCTAATTCAAAACCCGTCGTAGCAAAAACCTGAATTTGCCAGGGTCTGAAAATTGTATTTTTGGCATCTACGTTCAATAGGCTTTCTGTCAATGCCTCATTTTTCCATAACAAGACAGTTCGCGAACATAAAAAGCAAGTTTTTTCAGCTGTGTAATCGAAAAAGACATGAAAGTTAATATTATGCTGTTTCGAACCTTATGTCCTATTGATTTTGAAGGCTCCTGGAGCAGAGTTTTGAATTTGGGCCAGTCTCAAAATTATATTTTTGGAAACAACGGTCAATAGGCTTTTGGCCGATGGCTTATTCAGGCATCACTAGGCCGTACGTGGAGATAAAAAGCATATTTTTCCAGCTGTGTAATCGAAAAAGACCTGAAAGTTAATATTATGCTATTTCGAACATTTTGTTCTATTGAATTTCAAGGCCCTTTGTAGCAAACACTTGAATTTGTCACGGTCTGAAAATTGTATTTTCGGAATCTACGTTGAATAGGCTTTCTGTCGATGCCTCATTCTTCCATAACAAGACAGTTCGTGAACATAAAAAGCAAGTTATTTCAGCTGTGTAATCGAAAAGGACGTGAAAGTTAATATTATGCTGTTTCGGACCTTATGTCCTATTGAATTTGAAGCCTCCTGTAGCAGAGTCTTGAATTTGGGCCAATCTCAAAATGGTATTTTTGGAATCTACGGTCAATAGGCTTTCTGTCAATGCCTTACTCAGGCATCACTAGGCCGTAGATGGAGATAAAAAACAGGTTTTATCAGCTGTGTAATCGAAAAAGACGTGAAAGTTAATATTATGCTATTTCGAACCCTTCGTTCTATTGAATTTGAAGGCCCTTGTAGCGAAAATGACGCTGAGGACAAGGTACCTCACGCTGACAACAAGGTTCCTGACGCTGACGACAAGGTTCCTGACGCTGAGCACAAGGTTCGTGACGCTGAGGACAAGGTTCCTGACGCTGAGCACAAGGTTCCTGACGCTGAGGAAAAGGTTCCTGACGCTGAGGCCAAGGTTCCTGACGCTGAGGACAAGGTTTCTGACGCTGAGGACAAGGTGCCTGATGCTGAGTACAAGGTTCCTGACGCTGAGGACAAGGTTCCTAACGCTGAGGACAACGTACCTCACGATGAGAACAAGGTTCCTGACGCTGAGGACAACGTACCTGACGCTGAGGACAAGGTTCCTGACGCTGAGGACAAGGTTCCTAACGCGCAGGACAAGGTTCCTGACGCTGAGGACAAGGTTCCTGACAATGAGCACAAGGTTCGTGACGCTGAGGACAAGGTTCCTGACGCTGAGGACAATTTTTCCTGACGCTGAGGACAAGGTTCCTGATGCTGAGGACAAGGTGCCTGATGCTGAGTACAAGGTTCCTGACGCTGAGAACAAGGTTCCTAACGCTGAGCACAACGTACTTCACGATGAAAACAAGGTTTCTGACGCTGAGGACAAGGTACCTCACGCTGAGTACAAGGTTCCTGACACTGAGGACAAGGTTCCTGACGCGCAGGACAAGGTTCCTGACGCTGAGGACAAGGTTCCTGACAATGAGCACAAGGTTCGTGACGCTGAGGACAAGGTTCTGACGCTGAGGACAAGGTTCCTGACGCTGAGGGAGGACAAGGTTCCTGATGCTGAGGACAAGGTGCCTGATGGTGGGTTCTGACCTTTGAGAGCAGGTTCTAACGCTGAACTGGCTTGTACCTCCCCGATGGCTCAGGTTTCTGACGCTGAGGACAAGGTACCTCACGCTGAGTACAAGGTTCCTGACGCTGAGGACAAGGTTCCTGACGCTGAGGACAAGGTTCCTGACGCTGAGGACAAGGTTCCTGACGCTGAGGACAATGTACCTCACGCTGAGGACAAGGTTGCTGACGCAGAGGACAAGTTCTTCACGCTGAGGGCAACGTTCCAGACGCTGAGAAAAAGGCTCCTGACGCTGAGGACAAGGTTCCTGACGCTGCGGACAAGGTGCCTGATGCTGAGGACAAGGTTCCTGACGCTGACGACAAGGTTCCTGACTCTGAGGACAAGGTTCCTGATGCTGAGGAAAAGGTTCCTGACGCTGAGGAAAAGGCTCCTGACGCTGAAGTCAAGGTTCCTGATGCTGAGGACAAGGTACCTCACGCTGCGGACAAGGTGCCTCATGCTGAGGACAAGGTTCCTGACGCTGACGACAAGGTTCCTGATGCTGAGGACAAGGTTCCTGATGCTGAGGAAAAGGTTCCTGACGCTGAGGAAAAGGCTCCTGACGCTGAAGACAAGGTTCCTGATGCTGAGGACAAGTTACCTCACGCTGAGGACAAGGTTCCTGACGCTAAGAACAAGGTTCCTGACGTTGAGGACAAGGCGCCTGATGCTGTGGACAAGGTTCCTGACGCTGAGGACAAGGTTTCTGAGACTGAGAACTAGGTTCCTGACACTAAGGACAAGGTTCCTGACGCTGAGGACAAGGTTAATGGCGGTGAAGACAAGGTTCCTGACGCTGAGGACAAGGTTTCTGACGCTGGGGACAAGGTTCCTGACGCTGAGGAGAAGGTTCCTGACGCTGAAGACAAGGTTCCTGATGCTGAAAACAAGGTACCTCACGCTGAGGACAAGGTTCCTGACGCTAAGAATAAGGTTCCTGACGTTGAGAACAAGGTTCCCGACGCTGAGGCCAAGGTTGCTGACGCTGAGGACAAGCTTTCTGACGCTGAGGACAAGGTTCCTGACGCGGAGGTCAAGGTTCCTGACGCTGAGGACAAGCTTCCTAACGCTGAGGAAAAGGTACCTCCCGATGAGAACAAGGTTCCTGAAGTTGAGGACAAGGTACCTCACGCTGACGACAAGGTTCCCGACGCTGAGGACAAGGTTCCTGACACTAAGGACAAGGTTCCTCAGGCTGAGGAAAAGGTTCCTGACGCAGAGGACTAGGTTCCTGACGCTGGGGACAAGGTTCCTGACGCTGAGGACAATGTTCCTGACGCTGAGGACAAGGCGCCTGATGCTGTGGACAAGGTTCCTGACGCTGAGGACAAGGTTTCTGAGACTGAGGAATAGGTTCCTGACACTGAGGACAAGGTTCCTGACGCTGAGGACAAGGTTAATGGCGGTGAGGACAAGGTTCCTGACGCTGAGGACAAGGTTTCTGACGCTGGGGACAAGGTTCCTGACGCTGAGGAGAAGGTTTCTGACGCTGAGGACAAGGCGCCTGATGCTAAGGACAAGGTTCCTGACGCTGAGGACAAGGTTCCTGAGACTGAGGACAAGGTTCCTGACGCTGAGGACAAGGTCCCTGACGCTGAGGACAAGGTTCCAGACGCTGAGGACAAGGTTCCTGACGTTGAGGACAAGGTTCCTGACGCTGAGGACAAGGTTCCTGACGCTGAGGACAAGGTTCCTGACGCTGAGGACAAGGTATCTCACGCTGAGGACAAGGTTCCTGACGCTGAGGACAAAGTTACTGACGCTGAGGACAAGGTTCCTCAGGCTGAGGAAAAGGTTCCTGACGCAGAGGACTAGGTTCCTGACGCTGGGGACAAGGTTCCTGACGCTGAGGACAAGGTTCCTGACGCTGAGGACAAGGCGCCTG